GTTATCAACTTTGTTCACCATGCCCCAAGCTCGTACAAATATTTAACGATAACCTTGGACATTGTTCTCATAGTCAAATATAATTCCTTGGATAAGTGCGTTATGAGGACCATCCCTCTGAGCATACCCAAACTGTCGTAGAGCCAAGCAAGGATTATAAGTGATACTTCCCCTATTGCCAAGGAGAGGGACATTAGGGAATTCCCCACAATGGTCAATAATGATAACATCCTCCAAAGATCGAGAACACCAATGAATATCCGAATGCGAGAGTGACATCAACCTATTAGACTATCTCATGCCTTGCTCATTCTTAAAAATAGATCGAGGAAGGTGCAAAATAAACCACCTATCCAACATAGGAGTGCAACACATAAGGATCCCCCTTCTCTTCATGGTACGAGCGTGAAAAGAATGCAAGATGTCCCCGAGTAAGGTAGGCACTGGGTTACGAGACAGAAAAACTTTGACCGTATTCACATCTATGAGTTGGTCCGGGTTAGGAAATAGTACCATACCATAAATTAGAAGGGCCAAAATTCTTAAAAAGCTTGCAAATCCAGAGCATCCCAAAATAGTTGAGACTTCTCAAATAGAAACTTGTCTAGAAAACTCTTAACACCACTTCTTGTTTCTCAATTTGCCACAACGTCGGACCGTTGCAAATGTAAATCTAGAGCAATATCCTCAGGTCTTGGGTCTTTCTCAATACCGGTGAAGGGTAATTGATCAAGAATAGGCACTCCCAAGAGTTGAGAAAACTCATCCATGGTGGGCACTAATTCGTAATCATGAAATGTAAAGCAATTGTGTAAAGGGTCAAAGAATTGAAAGAGCACTTTCATCATGTCTTCATCCAGGCTTGAGGCAACCAGATTGAGAAGTCGACCATGTCTTTTGGTGAATGGAGAATTCTCAGAAACCCATGATGCTAACTCTTTGAGTTGGGGAGGCACTTTTATGAGGTTGATTTAGATAGTATTCTTACGAGTGGAAGCCATGTCCTACAAAACAAAACAAAGATAAATCTCTAGGTCCTTGAAATGGTTAGTGAAAATGCTATGGTATGATGTCATGATGTTATGTACAAATAATCATATACAAGTACACAAACAAGTCCTTAGGTTTAGGCTTGCATGGGGTTTGTAGGTAAGTACCCTCTTAAAGTTTTAGTTGGTTCAACGTGTCCTAACAAGTAATCAGGTTCTAGGGAATCTAAATATCATTGATCTTTCTTCATCGGGTATTGTTTCAGCGCAAGCCTCTTTATTAGCGGCCGAAATATCCCGAAAGTCCAATCTCAATGAGTGTAGCATCAAGTATCAACAAACTTCGGACTACACCAAAGCCAGCTTTCTCACTACTTCCCAATGGTCAAGTTATTCAATTAAAGGTTCTACGGTCAGTTAGTGCTTCATGACACCACACAACTGCCTCGTATTCTCCTTGACTGGACTCAAGGGATACCGGTACCAACAAATGTAACACACTAACGTAGCCATTGCTTCAACCATGTCGGTATACCCCGCACAGTTCCCACGATCTATTGCTACTTACCTAATAATGTTCCCCGATCTAGGTAGAGGATCAATACAAAACCCAAACAAGGACTAAAAAATGTAAAGAAAACAAATCAAACAATGAAATGATTTGAAGGTGATCTAGTCTCTAAGGTAACCCCACTTTTAAGTAATTCCCCCACCAGAGTCGCCAATTTTGTGATACGCTGGGAGAACTGACTTGGGTGTTTTGTGTTTTATCGCAAATGTTGCGGATAACAAGAGTCACCACTGAATTTTCTTTTATCCAATAAAGAAAAGGTTGAAAAGAACAGGAAATAACTTTTGAGATATTTTCTTGAGTTCGGGGGGTAGGTTATGAAAAGGGAAGGTGTTATCACCATTTTTATCCGTAGTTATCTACGGGCTCTTAGTTGCTAGCTCACTTTGAAATGCTTTGTTTGAAATGTGTTTGTGATAGGTTTTGAAAATATTTTTGAAAAGTGCCTTCATTTAGGAGAACTTTGTAATGATTCTCGTCTCTATAAGAATGCATACAAAGTGTTGACTTTTGAAAATATTTCACTTGAAGTGTTGGTGTGTTTGAAAGATGTTTTGAAAAATGGTTGTGAGCAAGCAACTATGAACGTTCTACCTACTCAAAAAGTCTTGGTTCTTTTCATCCTCCTTTAGATATTGCTATCTTACCATTGATTGATAAAAAGCCATATCGTTGGATATGAAGGGACAGGTGTGGGTCATTGTATAGTCATAGAAAGCAACATTGTAGGATATCTTAGAAATTTTTGTAAGGGTCTAAGATCATTTATGAAGTCAACATTTGAAGGGTCATCAAGGGACTATGATCTTGTGTTTGTTTTCATGCTCTTTGTCTTTGAATTAGGGTTTTCTACTTGTTGATTTTATGTCTTTCCATACAAACCCTAATTACTAGCATTTATATTGAAAGCGATAAATTGCGGAAATGTAAAATTCAATGCTATTACATCATTTGAGAACGGGGATACAAATTTACAAATGGGGGATGAAAACAAATAAACCCTAATTTACTATTACAACCATGTTGAATATGAACAAATAATATACAAGAATATGAGGGCAATGTGAACGGAAAAGAGAATTGTTTTTGAATGAGTGATGAAAGATTTGAATAAAAGAAAGAAAATAAATGATTAGTCTAAGTTGATTTTCAATGAAACTAAACCTAAATTAATTTAAGAAAAAGAAATTAAATTAATTAAGAAAAAAAGTTTTTAGGGTTTTATATGAAAGAGTTTTAACCTAATTAAACTTAATAAAAAGAAATTAATTAAAAATCCTAAATTCTAAGTTAATTAATATACCAAGAAAATTAAAATAAATTTAAATCTAAATTGATTTAATTAGAAAAAAGAAATTAAATTCGCTAAGAAAATATTTTTGGTCTTTTGTTTAATAAAAATAAACTAAAATATATAAATAATAAATATTATATATTTTTGGTTTTTTTATTATTAATAATAATAATAATAATAATAATAATAATAAATGATAAAGAAAAATAAAATAAAATTAAAGTCACTAGGGTTTAGAAAGTGGAATAGGGTGTAAGTGAGTAAAACAATTTTTGATTTGATTAGGCCCGATGTGGTTTTTTTGTAGTCAGAATAAAAAGAAAAATAAAAGTATGTTAGGCTGCGTATTGTGTAGTGGAATGGGGGATGCAAAGTAAAATGAACAAGGCCCAACAAGGGGAGCCCAAACGCGCGTTGGAAGTCACAAAAAAATGTAAAAATGCCAAAAGGACCACTGGGACTCGAACCCAGGTCACAAGGGTAACATGTGCGCGCTTTAACCACTAGAGTAATGATACATCTGTTTATTAAAACAAAACCAACACAATATATTACAAAACCAATCCTAATCCTATGTGTTGTACCCTAATTTTTGACCTAAGATCCCATTTTTATTTTTGCATTTTTTTAAGATAAGTCAAGGTCACGAAATACGGTCGGTTTTAACGTCTCGCCTTCGAGCTTTGACTATGTGAAGATTGTCAAGTGTTTTGAACATTTTTAGCCTATGTATCACTAATTTCTAATCGCATACAAAGGTGTATGTTCATGTTTTCTTTTGCTTTGTGTGCAGAGACAGGTCTGAATCAAGAGCATCAGGTGTCGCGCCTCAATTAAAGTTTTGAGTCTCCCAAGCCAGAAGTACGGTTGATGATGGATTCTCGAAGACTGATTCATCAAGGCACAACTGTTGCACCCTAAATTTCGCCCCTAATTTTTTCAGTCGCGCATTCATATCATATTTTGTTATTTGGTCACAATCATTAGTAAATATCTTCATTCATCACATTTTGCATCATTAGTCGTATTTAAGTTGACCAGAAAAAGTCAGTTTAAATCAAAGTTTGCATCGTCTTTTAGTTGTAAAATACCCGACATTTCACTTCATGCATTTTTATCTGTTTACTATTTTCTTACATCGCTCCAAGTTGTTTATATGTCGATAATAAAAATATTTTGGTTTTATAGACAGACCGTTAAAAGCGGTTCAATATTGTGCGAAAAGATAGCGAGAAAAATATTTCAAGTTTTCACCTCTTACCGATCATTTTATGAATATGCATGACGCGTAGATTATGACGGTATGCTCGCTTTATTTTTTCGGTATAGTTTGAAGTCTCGTTTTTAACCGTAAATGTCCGTATTAGCCTGATATTTTATCATTTTATTTTTGACTTCTTGAATATTTTTTCTTTAATCTTTGTGACATGTAGATTATTTTAATGTGTTCATTTTATTTTTTCGGATAAATTTTCGTCCGTTTTTATCGTTTTCGGTCATTTTGGGTCTTTATTTTTTTATTCAGAAAAATTCCAAAAAAATTATTTTAAATTGAGTTAATTTTAATACTTTCAGTTTTTATTTCATTTTTATCATTTAAGGGCGTTTTTGTCATAAAAAAATATTAATTACACTATACTTGATTTCTATTGGTTGTTGACAAAAGTTGCGGATTGATGCATACTGAATTTATTTTGAACGGACATGATTAATTTGATATCATTTTTTCTCCTTTTCATTTTCCAATTTAAAGCCTATTTCACTCTTTGTAAAGGGACACCAAAAAAAAACAACTAATAGTAAATAATCCCCTCCTCTCTTTTTGATACACACTCCAAAACCCCCTCACAAAAATCATGTTTTTCCCTCACCATCAATCTCCGCCCTTCAATTTTGCCTTCTTAACATAACACATTGTATATTCACACAGTATACATGATTTCCATACAAGTTTCTACACCACTATTTTTTCACGTAATGAATAATTCTTTTCATTGTTTTTAACTCTTTCAAACCTTCATAAGCCAAAATCACACAATACAAATCACTCAACTGTTTAAGCCATTCTCGCCACCCAAAGTTATAAGACAAGGGGCATTTCACCAAACATTTGGTATACAGAAAATTAAGTTCCAACATCTCGTTCATGTTTCATCCCACTCAGATCCAACAACACAAATTTGGAAGAAGAACAGTCAGAGCAAAACAAAGAAGAAGAAACGATAAAGAGCAGCGCTCCTGGTGCAATTCGGCCTTCCGCGACCAAGAACCACATGGCTACCTTGAAGCTGGCCATATTTCCGCCACCCGCCCCCCTTCGATCTTCTTATGTCAACCTTCATCCGCGCACACTCCAAAACTGCCTCACAACCTTCACACTATCTCCCATCACCACCGTCCAAATCAGAACCCCTACCCACTATACTTCAAGGTGCAAAGCCAATTCCTTTTCTCATTTCAATTTCCATAGGTCTCATTGTGAGGTTCTTTGTGCCAAAGCCTGTTGAAGTTACTGCTCAAGCATGGAAATTGCTTTCAATTTTCCTCTCAACCTCCATATTGCTACCTCCCTAACTCCACAAAACCCAATCTTCACCCATCCCATTTTCCGTTGTGAAACTGCCAGCAACCCCTTACATCACAAACCCAATCTTCAAACCACCCTCTTTCTCGCCGTCATCTTCACTCAGCTGTTAAATCCCTCACTCTATGCCCAGGTGTTTGTATCCCATCTCCTTTCCGAGCACGTGCTCAATCCCATCAGATGGATGGTAGTGATAGTCGAAGCAAAGAGACTATAAGACTGAGTTCGGTGGAACCCATTTTGAGATTTGCTAGGGGCAATGTTTTACCCTTAGCTCTCATTTCTGCCGTCACGTTAGGATTAACATATCCTAGTCTTGGTTGCGCTCTTGACAAGTATCGTGTGTCCAAAATTTGGCCGTTTGGAATTTTTGTTATCTCAGGGTTGATGTTGCGAAGTGAAGAAATTGGTGCTGCTGTAGAAGCATGGCCTGTTGGACTCTTTGGGGCTAGCCATATTTTGCTGTATGCCAACTACATTATCAAGTGGTGTTGCACTTACCCAACTTGTTGGGGGAAACGCTGCACTGGCTCTTGCAATAACTGTCAGCAACCATCATAAACCCACACGGTCCAATACTCTCTCTGTCCAGTTTCATTTCGATACCGGTATGGGTTTTATTTTTGTTGAAGCCAAATGATTGTGTTATTCTGTATTATTTAAATTATGTTCACTATGTGTTATTTATTTTGGTAAATATGTTTCATGATTGTGTTTAATTTTATATTGAATTTTGGATAGTGATTAGTTGTGTTAAATTCTTTAAAGAACATGTTGTTGTTTGAAGTGTTGTTTGTCTATATTAATTTTAATGTCAATGCCATATAGTTTAATTTGAATAAAGTTTCTAATATCGATACCTTTTCTTTTTGTTTAAAAATTGAATGGTGGTGTTTTACTTATTGTTGAAATATCATGAACTTTGGCATTAGACAACATGTTTATTGTTTGATTTAATTTGATTGAGACTTTTTGATAATACCATTTGATTTGAGTGAGGTTACTATTGATAATTATGGTGTTGTTTGTAAAGTCGATGTCGACACCACATTGATAGAATTAGTTTCGAATAAAGTTTGTTGGATGTGTCGGGTTATCAAACATGTTAAGATGGAATTATTGAGCCTCCTTGGATAGGTGTTGGTTTCTTCCCGGAGTTTATAAAGAGTTTGAAAAGCTTTGACTCAATTCTTGTTTTGCTCTTTTTGAGTTTAATTTGTATATACCTTGAGTTTAGTTCTTTGTGAATTTTAATTTTGTTTTTTAGAATGAGAAATTGTATTCATAATGTGGTTTAAATGTGTGTCGTGAACTCTTGGTCGCCAATTATTTCACCACTTCTTTGTTAATCTAAGTTGATTTCAATTTTTGATTTGATTCATCTTTTTGTTTGGTTATGTTCGTTTGGTGATTTTAATTATGAAAGATCACTAACACATGTTAATTGTTGCAATTTCATTCATTTCATTTTTATACCACTTATGCTACTAACAAGTTTGTTTACTGTGAAGGTTTCCAAGAACTGTTTCAAGCGTTCGTTCTCGCATAGCGCATTTATAATTTTTCTTTATTCCCTTTTCACCTTACTATTTTTGATTTAATATTTGGTATTGTAAATACATACTTGTACACAATATTTTTTACTGTATATTTTACTCATTTCATTGGTAAATAGATTCCGTCTATGTAGATATTATTTTCATTGCATTGTGATTTTATTTTTAATTCCAACTAACTTCTGAAAATTGTGCGGACGCACATAAGTTTCCCGTGCTGTTAGATTTTGTCGGTATATCTCTTGTGATGCAGGGATTCTTATCTGACACCGTGAGCTTTATCCACCGCCTTTGCGCTTTATCTGATGCTTGGAGTATTATCTCACAATTAGGTTTTTTGATGATGCTGTCGGCTTGTGATTTATTTTCACCTAAGGTTTGATATACTCTTAGCTTATTTATTCGTCTGTGGTTTTAACTCCAAGGAAAAGATTTAAATTTGTTGACTTCACGTCATCAAATACATCCCATCCGATCGTGCGAATAGCCTCATTCATTTTTTGCTTGTTTACTATTTTTCCAAACTTAAGATAATTTTCCCAAAAGACTCCATTTTCAAACTCACACCTTTTAAGTCAAAACTTCGACACTAGGTCGTCGTATCTTCAAAAATCTCGTCCATACCCATCTTTTAACCAAATAAACCATTTTAATCAAACAAACAATTTTAACCGAAAAACAGATATTTCAAAAGGTTCCTGCGGAGTACCGCATATGCATTGGGTGCTAATACCTTCCCATTGTATAACCAACCCCCGAACTCTCGATCTCTTTCAAAAAACGCATTGTATTTTTATTACTTTTAAGTATTATTTTACATGGCATATTTTAGGGTTTTATTTCGCTCTTTTCCCTTTTCCCTTGGAAATAATAAAGCGCGGTGGCGACTCTTGCTTTTCTGAGTCAAGTTAATTAATAGCTTGATCTCCGATTTTCACCGCTACAGAATTGGCGACTCTGCTGGGGACAGATTGACCTCTTGCTGGTCCATCCCTAAGTGGGTTAAGCCTAATTTGTTTTATTTGTTTTATCATTATTTGATTGTTTGATTATATGTATATATTGTGATTATTTGGGTGTTGATAATATTTACAAAGGACAAGTCCTATACCCGGACTAAGTTACACTTAGGAATAGGACGGGCGGTATAGTCATGTTAACTTTGAGGGAGTAATCCCGAAGAAGGAGGCATGAGATCCCCCACTCAGTGGAAGGCCCTTTTGAACGTAATATTTGTTTACCGAATAATCAGGAAGACATTATTATTTTCGACCTGGGAGCCAGAGAAGCTGGGAACCGTAGAACCCTAACCCATCTTGGCCTTTTAGGTGTAGCGCGAAGATTATAACGGAGTAATCCGGAAGTAATTGTTACGCGATGCTATGCTCGGATGAGTTTCTCTTGAGAATATTGCTGATTATTGAGTAATCAAGACGTTGGTAATATCCAAAGGAGGAATGTAGACTACGGGAACTCTTAGAACCTTGTTCTACAGGTGTGATTAAACCGTTAGTACATACCTTGGGGGTGTTCCTTACCTTGACTCCATGCTCGAGACGTTAAACCTTCCGACTTTATTTGTGACCTTACTTGTGGTTGTTGCATAGCCATGCATTCATGCATCCATAAAACCCTTTTCACTTGACTTTGAAGGAATTTGGAGATCTTTCTTTGTAAACATCACAAGTTTCGTCAAGCTCAATGGATCTTGGGTGTTGATAGGGCGAAAACCCTAATCCACCAAAATGGATGATTGATCTTGATGATAACTTGATCAATGTTTGGAGCCAATTTAAAATTCATCTTCTATCTTCATACTTTGATGTTTACAACTTAATATCTTGAGTTCCTTGAAAATCAAATAAAAACTCTCTTTTGCATATCATACATCATTCTACATTTTTTGTTTCACTTTCAAAGGTCTTTTTCCGAGTCTTGTTTTTCCTTTGGTCTCACCAGTACAACACTCGCGCTAAGAAAACAATGGAGAATATCAAGCAAGAGGTTTCTGAACTCCGTAGAGAGATGACTATTTTGAAAGCTGGTATGGATCACTCGACTGTTTTGGGTTGAAATTTTGGTTACCGCCCAAGTCAATCCTTCTAGGATGGAGGAAGCGATGATAAAAGTCTTCACTGAAACTCTAAAATCATTCTCTCATGAGAAGGTGATGGTTAATGCACCTAATGACTTTCCTGACAAGGTGAATGTGGGGGTGCGTCTAGAAGAAGATGTTGGGAAGGGATGTTCATATGAAGATGGTAGCTCAACTGATGGTGTGAAGAAGTTTGATAATTACTTTTCCAAGAAGAGAACCAGAGGAAGAAATAATCATCGTCAGAATCATCATGTTTCTCCTATTCATCAACAGAATCAGCAAGTCCCTAATCAGAGGAAAACCCAGTTTGATCTAATTCCAATTACCTATACAGAGTTGTTCCCTCTCCTGATGCAGAGGAATTTGGTTCAGACCCGACCTCCACCGAAGGTTCTTGAGAAGATACATTGGTACTACAAAGCTGATTTGGCTTGTACCTTTCATCAAGGTACTCCTGGGCATGACTTGGAGGGTTGCTTTGCTTTGAAGATTGAGGTTCAGAAGTTGGTCAGAAGAGGTATCTTGTCATTCAAGGACATTGGTTTTGAAGTTCAAATCAAGCACGTGCCGAAGAGTAAACACGACTGGTGGTTACTTTGATTTTTGAAGGATGTTTTCGGTAATTCAAGTTCAGATGGAAAGCCTTCCCAGATTATTAACTTATTTATGCTTTTTGTAATTTTTCTTGTTTATCAAAACATTGTTTGCATGTAAGAACTTGTTTGCATCTGAATGATTATCTTAATACCATGAGTATGTTTGTCTTGAAGAAATTCATTCGTTTCACTCATATTTGTTTTCAAAATTTTAAATTGCTTTTGCACTACGATACCAAATTGTTGCTCATTCTCTTGCCTAGGCAGAGATTGAAGGGAGGATGGTGATCTAAAGAACACAAAATCTCTGGTTGTATTGCTTTTGAATAAAATCTTGCTGATGATGTACAGGCATTGTTTCAAATCCCTAAACACCGGAGATATAAGGAAGATAATCCCTTGTTAACCCCTTTTGAGCCTTTGAAGCATAAGTTTCTTTTCTATACGAAAAAACCTTGAATTTTAACCTGGGGCAGGGTAGTTTTTAGTTAATCTGACTGAGTGTTCAAACTTCATAAGGAAGATGTTTTTTGAAGAGAAACTACGAGGGCTATCCTTCATGTATAATGAATCTAGAGGATGTGGAACCACAATGTTATCCCTCATTCATCAAGAAACGAGGCAATCACAATCCTCTCAACAAACAAAGACAAGCTAATGTCACACATTTTGTTCAAAAAGTTAAAAATCGAGAAAAAGAAAAAGCCTGCTAAGTCAAAAAACATGAAAACGTGTGACTTAGGCAAAATTAAGGCATCCCGCTGGACTATCAATTCAAAATATTAGTTCAGGCAAAAATTAGGGAAAATAAAAATTGCAAAGAAAGGACTACAAAGGAAAGTCCTCAGCAAAGAACAAATTGGTGACTACAAACACGAAGACATGAGGGTGGTTTCTACTCCGAAAATCTCGTCGTTTCCTTAACCGTCACAAAATCCTTTTGAGAGATGAACGCTCATGTTGAATTAACTGAACATAGGATTGGAGAACATTATGAAGGGGGTGGGCACCAAATATTTTGAGCCTTAAATCCTTTTTCTAAAACCATGAACCAGACCACATTACAACCTTCAAAAGTCTTAATTGAAGCAAGGTTATTTTGAAAGCATACTTCAATGAGATAGTGTTCCTGACTCCCATGAATGTTCTAAATAGTTATGTTGGTATCATATGTTTTTCCTATACAAAAATAAATGGTGCTTTAACTCGCAAAATTTGTACGATATCTTTCAAAATCTTCAAGACTTACATAACTGTTGCATTAGAATTTTCATTCTCCTTGTAAACTTTTTCTAACTGCAAAACATTTGT